AAAGAAGAAAACCTCCGGAGTCACCACGCTCCTACTGGAGCTCCATGCCCCCATGTTGAGGCCGGAGCACGCGTCACCATGACGGCGGACCCAAAGCAAAAAGAAAAAGTTCCACCTCGAGATCGGCACCGCCGCCGCACCAGCCTCAATTGGTTAGCTTACTACGAAATTGGCCGCCAACCACCTCACAACAACCCAGTGGAATCGAATCCGAAGCAGATTTACCACGACGCTACCACCATAACCGTCAATACAGAAACTGGTGAAAGAAGAAAACCTAGCCCTAACCTAACTACACGCCGTCGTCGGAGCGGCTGCCAGAGAGAGGAGGAACCCCTCGAGTCGCTAGCGGAGGACGGTGGTAGCCGGGTCGCCTTCGGTTCCACCTCTCTCGCAGGGAAGGGGAAACAAAACGAAAGAATATGAGTTTTATTATTATTTCTAATTCAACACTTCCCTTAGGGCGATTGACCCCTTTAGGTTGATATGTTTTTTTCTCAGCTTGACTATTTTTTTAAGTTTAAAACATTTTCCTGCTCTGGCATGGTTCATCCAACTCGACGGCATTATTTTAAATTTTAAACATTCTCTTGCGCTAGCGCGGTTAAGCGACACATGTGCCGTGTGTTGGACGTGCTCACCGCCTTGAGATGATTGACCATGTTCGGTGACCACTACAACCACCATTGACGAGGACGGACAGGAGGATGAACAACAACACGAATAAGATGAGTCTTATAGGATAACATGTTAAAATATAAGACATGGATCCGGAAGAGAGAGACTTGATCTATACATGTTTATTGGTTATGGGTATATAATGTTTTATTCTCCCGTTGCATCGCACGGGCATTTTTCCTAGTTGTCTAGTAAAAGAAGGTAGACGATCCACTTGCGTGGACTCGGAAGAAAATATTCTGCAATTTGCACCAGCGAGGAGAACGATGAACAAAATGTCGCCACGTGATTGTCACAGTACTCTTATAATAACGTATTGTGTCGTGCTCATGCCTTCTTGATCGGCCAGATAGATCAACAGCAACTGGCGCGTAGACGGTGCAAACAATGAAACTAAGAATGGATAAAAAAGACTCCCTCGCAAAAGAAAAAGGACTGGGCTGAACGCTTATATTTCCTCCAATCCATATTAATTGTGGCAGCCTTTTACTATAACTTTAGTACAAATTTGTATGAGAACCATGAGAATTAATGTAGATCAAGAGACCTTTTACGGTGCATCAAAATAATATGAGCCGTCCATTTTCAGTCAGTTAATGGACTAGATCCACCAATACTACCAAAGCAATTCAGTAGTATATTTTGTTCAAGGGGTAAAATTGGAAGACTTAGAAAATAAATACCCAAATTCTACATCCATTGAGGAATCCGTGTGTTTTCTTGTCCTGCTTGGACCAGTCCGGCCGAATACTTTCCGGCCGACATTCAATGCAACAGAGACAATTGTACACAGCGATGGATCCTTGCCGGCTGTATTTTTGGCCGAGGAAATCACCATATACAATAGATTGATTGATCATTTGTGGATACATGCATTAGTGATTCCGGCGATCAAGCCGGCGGCGGTGGCCTCATAGGAAGCTGCAGCGACGACGCCGCGACTGATCAGGACGTCGTACCGCCGGTTCTGTGGCCTGCTGGTAGATTTGATGCCAGGTCGGGGGCTTGGAGCTCCCACTTGAAGGGCACTCAGGCAGTCAGGCTAGCTCTGATCGATATTGGGCATGCGCTGTTGATCATGGGCGATGGCAACGACGAGGCCTCACGAGGATCGTCGCCGCGAGGGATTTGACAAATTATGAAATGAAAATAATGACAAAACTACCCCGCTAATCAACGGCTGAGATGATTCAATACTACTCGCTTTCAGAGGTAGTATGATGCATCGTAAAAAATCTCCTTATATTTTTCAACCAATTTTCTGTCGGAACAACTATAAAATCACATCGCAAATCAATGGTTTGTAGAAAAAAATCATAGGTGCATGCTCCCGCACATGCGTGCCCCTGCGAATTTTTTATGCTACTAATTGTGTTACTTTCACTATATAGCAATCCTTAGCCTTATCTTTCCCTAATAATAATAAAGTACGGATTGACTCCGTGGGTTCACCGTTACAATACGCTTTCTTTTCGTGAATTTGCGCTTTCATTATTTTACTTTGCTATCCAAGATGGTACTAATTTCAAACCCCCGTGAGTACAATTGGTGCCTCGCTGGGGCCTTTCCCGCGCAACCTGATCCTCGCTTTGCTGGGCCTATATGCCCAGTGGGCTTCCACGATCCGCTTAATAAAAATAAAAATAAAAATAAAGTTTAAAGAAGGTGCTCATGTGGGATTCGAAGACAGGACCTCCGGTTTCATCGAGAAGAACACAACCAACAGAACTCCATTAAGCTTGTGTTGAAAACCGATGTTCCTTCTCAAATAATTAGTCCCACCTTGCTTCTTTACACTAATTCTCACCAATTTAAATACGGGGGAGTTAAACAAGTCAACAAGCAGCCTCGAGACTTGATACAGAAAGATAATGTGAGAAGAGAACTTGAAAGGGCCATGTGGAGGGAGAGAGAAGAAAAAACATGTATGGGCATGTGTATACTTGTGGGGTTGCAAGAATCAAACAAGAATGAGGGCAAGACCTGCACTAAGACAAAGAAACCTCTCCGAGAAAGATCAACAGTAGAGAGAAGAAGACAAAACAACTGATACAAGTGAGGAAGAAACCAAAAAGTACATCAGAGAGAGGGGTCTGCCCTGCCGCTCGGAGGAACCAGCCTCCCATCATCACCACAGCCGCTCATGGGCCGCTACCCCATCGCTGCATCTCGATGGCCCGTCGCCCAGAGAGGGGAGACTATTAGGTGTGGTGCGTTGAAGAATGAACAGCGATTGAGAGGCAAGAAGATATAATCTACCTATGGAGGCAGAGCGGTGCGTGGGGCCGCTAGACACGCGTCATTGTGTCGTGTACAAGGAAGAAATAAAGTATTTGGAGGAGGGGCACATATGACGCGTGGAACACCAGCGTACGAGGCTGCTGGTTTCTTTCTTAGCAATCAACCAACCTTAAACTAGAAAGTTTGGATCGTTCATGGACGGGAAAGTAATCATCGAGTCACCACACGGACGTGTTTAGCGTGCACGTATGTATTTGTTCATTCAATCTATATGCACGCGTTGCCGGATTTGATGCATGATAATTTTGTTTTTTAAATACCTCACAAACGCAAGCGCTCATCATGATAATTTTATTACAAAATTAGATTTAGCTCCGTTTGTCTCCCTCGTGAAACCATACTGACTGGCTATTAAGACGTAAAAATAAAAAACTTTTATATATAAACATAGGTTAGGACACACGTATCAAAAAGATATAACCTACCCTCTCTATTTCAAAATAAGTGTCTTAACTTTGTATCAACTTTAGTATAAAGTTATACTAAACTTGAGACACTTACAAAGTTGTACTAAATTTAAGACACTTATTTTATAATGGAGGGAGTACATGCCAACGAAAATAAATTGTCTTTAGGCATTGCCGATGCCGGTTAAGACGAGTGCATAATAAACCACCGATATAAAATTGAGAGTGATAGCTTATCTTACGAAAAAAGCTTTCATCCCACTTTATAAATAAAGCAACCACGAAGTACAAAGTCAACAAGGTAACATCCGAACAACACACATACACAACGCCACCGTGGGCAAAGGTCCAACACACACGCACAACTCACTCCACTGATTCAGTTGTGGACACATCACAACAAGCCAAAACAAACACAAGGGATGCACAAACAAACAAGGCGGTGGCGACAATGACTAGGGAGCTAATCCGGCTCAGGTGGTGGTGGGGGAGGCGGTGGCGCCATCCGGAGAGCCATCGTGCGAAGCTGGGTGATGATGGAGGTGATGTCATCTCTCTCCCTAAGGCGGCTAAGCGGCCGCCAAAGCAGAGGGCTCTAGATGCCACCTGGTCCGATCATTTTCCACATTAAGCTCAGGCTCGTGCAACGCGATGCAGTCGAGCAAGTCATGCCAGACGACATTCTCATCTAGGCCAAAAGAACGTCAGAAGGCAAGCTGCCCTAAGTCAATAAGGGTCAATGCGACAGAGATCCGCGGGTCAACCGCGATGGAAAACAGGTCTGGAAAACGTGCTGCGAAGGGGCGTCGCCAGCCCTTGATGATGCAACAAAATGTGGTCATGATCATTAAAGATTATAAATTTTTTTCTTCCGTTGCAACACACAGGCACTTTGAATTTAAAACATATACATGAGGTGGTACTAATTCGGGAACCACGTCAGGTGCAATCTGACTATGCATGCGGTGCCAGGCTAGCCCAAAACAAATTGCAACCGGGCCGGATCGACCTCCCGAAACACGCAAACATGGAATCTGACAAACGCGTGTTATTTGGATTGCACGCACAAGGAAACTATACGTCTTCTTCCACGACATATAAATTCCAACAGCGAACCAACATTTCGTTCCGATTGAAGGCAAGAAACCTCTTCGACAAGCTTAACCTGCCATCGTCCTGTTTGCCTCAGCCCTCTCCGGACCGCCGGCCTTCGCCGCCCGAGCGAACACTACCACCGGCGGCCTCGCTCGACGGAGGACCCGCGATCTCCAAAGAGCGAGTCGTTTGAGGCCTGGAGCTAGGTGCGGAGAAGGCCGGGACAAGGCCCTGGAGCTGGGGGCGGAGAAGGCCGGGACGAGGCGGCTGGGCTGACTGACATAGCAGGTGGGCCGCGGCTGGACGAGGAGCATGGCCTCCTCGCGAGCTGCGAGCAAAAAGAAGCAGTGATGTTGACTCAAACAAAAAAACAGCGAGGATGAGAGGCGCATGATCGGTCGGACCTGGGGGCATGCTTGGCGCACGTGGTGGAAGGAGGCTGTGGCGTCTGTCTGAATTGGGTCGGAGGCGAGGTTGTTTGCCGGATTCGGAGCACTGGCGGGCGGCCAGATGCCCAGATCAGGGGACGGCAGAGGGGAGCTCCAAGGCGCCCATCCATGTCTGCGTGGCGGATCCAGATGCTCCGCGCGTGGATCCGTCGGTGGACAGATCGAGACGGAGAGGCGGCGACCTCCATTGGCGGGTTCCCTGAAGAAAACGTGTGAGAGATTAGAGAGAGAAAGGGAAGAAAGGATGAGAGGGGGTGGGGTCGGGCGTCGGCCTTGGCCTGCTTGCGCGCGGCTGGAGGACGTGAGGCCTGTTGTGGCCAGATCCGGAGCACGGGGCGACAACTGAGCGGGGGAGGCCAGATCGAGCGACAGTAGAGGGAGCTCCAAAACGCAATCCATCCTCTGGTGGTGTTCCTCACCGGCATAGAAGAGGGGATTGCTGCCCTGGATAGAGAAGAAGAGAAGGGAGAGCGTCAGGTGGATGGAGAAGAAGGCCATGTGTTTTGGATAAGGGGACACGTAGTGGGAAGTGGGCGGTGGGTGTTGTCGCTACATGTTCTGTTTGGACCGGAAGCTCCTGGATTGCTATGCATGTGCACTCTTCTAAAAAATGCTATGCATGTGTACCGATTACTATTTATTTCCGAAGGAGCACACCCATTATAATTACTTGCTGCTGTATGTCATAGTTTAATATTCATGCCTACCACATCTTATAAATACATATTAGATATAATAATAAAAAATGAGTGAAATATGGAAAAGAAATAATATTTCTTAAGGGAGAAGATATTTGGGGCTCACTGGTATTTACTGACCATCAAGATATTCCTTAGCTTTTGAATGTCATCTATGTCTTGGTGAGATATAGGAAGGAGAGATGGAGGGATGAAGAGCAGAGAGAGTGTAATAATGGTGCATCTTGCTCCCGTCCTGTTGTGCCCTGCACGACATCTGGGAGGGGAGCACTCCCCTCCGTTGTACCATCTACTCCATCGAGGCCCGATGATAATGACCATGGAAGTGGTCATGTTGGTGTGGAGGGTGTGCAATATTGACGGCAACGTGTCAACAAAAGAGCGTCAAGCATTATAAACTCTTTATTTCCGGTCATCAAATTGTGGAAGTGGAAAAGTATAACTATAAATTGATGTTAATAGGCATTGTGAGATGTAGAAATTAATATATGTTCTATTAGAAGCTGCTACAGGTATGTGAATGATGCACAATTACTTATCATTGAAAAAGTAGTTGTTGATCTATCAGATTATTAAATGTTATTTTCTGTAATTCTTTTTACGCAGGGTTGTTGAATGTCAACAACTTATTACAAATAATCCATTTTTATAGCGAGTTGAAGGTTTTATTAGTAGAGAAGAAGATTATGAGCTTTTGGAATTCAATGGGATCTTCATGAAATGGATCCTTATGAGTCTTATAACCAATTTAATTGGAAAATCGTATATTCACCATGATAGATAAACAACGACACCAACTTTCAGATTTATTTTATACCCGTTGCAACGCACGGGCACTTTTGCTAGTGAGACCAATACCTCGATCAGCCTCCATTTACAGAAAATAATAATATAATACTTCCTTCCTCTCAATATGAGACAATATACATGCTTATTTTGTACAAGTACTTCGGTGGATCGTTCTTGTGATGTCTTTCTTCCTATGTGTATGCTGCATCTCCGCTCTTATAGATACCTTATTTATTTTCCAACCATGTTCGAGTCGTCCACTTTCACTGTTCATCTTCTTCTTCGTCGGTTTCAGTCCTATTGCACTCTAAGCTTCCAATCTTCTTTCATCGCCTTCTTTCTCTATTTATTTTCTCGATTGTTGTTTATTTCAATTTTTAAAATTAGAATCAACTTCAACAGAAATCTCCTTCATACCAGAAGTCTTATTTCGCTTGAAAAGATGTTGATGCTATTGCATTTGTTAGGATTCAGCATTTGTTTTAGTGTAGATTTAAAATATTATGTGAAAACAATTTGAAAATTTTCATGAATTTGGTAAATGGTCACGAGTTTAATAAATCTTCGTGGTTTTTAATGAAAAAAAATCATAAATTTGATAAAAAACTCATAAGTTATAAAAAGACCGTGAAGTTGAAAAAGAATCATGGATTTCAAAAGAGTTTGCGGATTTGAAAAATCTGCTTGATTAAAGAAATTGCGATATGAAAAAAGTTCATGAATTTAGGAAAAGATTGTAAATATGAATAGAATCACATATCTGAAAAGGTTTGCAGAATTGAAAAAAGTTTGCATATTTGATTTTATTTGCATATTTATTTTTCTCCACATATTTAAAAAAGTTCATAAAAAACAAATAAGAAAATATCAAAAGAAAAACCAAGAAAAAAATAAAAAGAAAACAAAAAACTACCCGGAAGGTTCCCAAAACTGGATCGGAAGGTTCTGATAGGGAATCATCCCAATAGGCTGTTTAAAAACACAACGAACGCAAAGTGTTGGGGATATGACCGCACAATGTAACAATGAAGTCTTAGATAGGCCCAAGAGACCATGACATGAAGCCAGGGAGGCAACTTACGAGGTGGGCCGGATGGAGGCCCAAGGCAAGAAGACGGTGCATGACCCGGAAGTGTAAGCCGCCCGATGGCGAATTGCCAAAGAAGGCAAGGCGATTTGGATCCAGGATCAGCTACGAAGTATAACCTGACCCGGACTCTTGTAAGCCCAGGGCCTCGACCTGCGTATATAAAGGCGAGTCCCTGCAGCAGGTTCAACTTAAGTTACAATCAATTGATAGCTAGGTTAGGCGAATCCACTCCCTTGTAATCGATACTCAAGCAATAGTAACAAGAGCATGAGTAGGCTTTTACCTCCATCGTGAGGGGCCGAACCTGGGTAAACTCGTGTCCTTCATCCCGCTCAACCCCTTCAGGCTAATCATAGTAGAGATGGCCTCACACCAAAGTCCTTTCACTAGGACATCTGCCGTGTTAACCCAACGACAGTTGGTGCACACCGTAGGGCCAGCGCACGGTAGTTTCGAGTTCTTGAAGGGCTCTTTCCCATGGATTGAGGGGTACGCCGTTGGCCGGATGATCAAGAGTCGCTGCGGCAAGCTGTACATCGCTGATGTTGGCTGGGGCCCCGAGGCCGACTCAATCGAGTATGGGTATCGGGTCCCCTTCGGCGGAATCCACGTCTTCATCGGCCAAATCGGCGGATCAGAGCCTGAGCCGGACATCTGTGTCGACATCATCGAGTCAGCTCAGCGCACGCAACCCGCCCGGGTCCAAGCCGGGCGTAGGCATGCTTTCATGGGCTTCACGCAAGGGATGGAACTTGCGGAAGATTCTGCTTCTGAGGGAGTTACTCTCGTCTACTCAGGTAATGAGTCCTCAACCGGGGAGACAGAGTCAATCTATCAGCTTCAAGATGGCGGACCTGGGAGCTATTCTGATGGTGACAGTATTCCGGACCCCTATGAGCCGTCGTGCAGGGCTACTATCTTCATGGCTGGGACAGGGCCAACTCTCAATTCTTCAACAGCGGTTGCGACAGCCTCTAACCCGGCCGCGGCAAGGGCTGGTGGATCCGAGTCGGGCAGGCCACCGACTCAAGTACTACTGGATCTCATGAATACCTTGACAGCTTTGTTAGCAGCTGAGGTCACTGCAGCGAATCAAGCAAAGCGCAACGCAGAGGTCGCAAAAGATTTGTGAGGAGATAACCAAGGCCTAGGAGGATATTGTGGCTGAGAACTACCAAACCGTTGCACTAAAGGCTTAGATTGACGCAGAGGTAGAGCATATTAAGGCGGATGCTTGGCGTTTAAGTTTGGATCAGAACACGTCTAATGCAGTATTCCAGAAAAGGTACCAGAGTCGCCTACCACCAACGCATGACCCAAGACGTTTGTTTGACACTCCTGGGGCAGGTCCAAGCACTCCAGATGCACTGGTGAATCCTCAGTTAAACCCGGATATGCTAGGGAATCGGGCGGCGGCTCAACCTCGGCAGCCTGAGCCGGCACGAAGGGAGGAGCGGGCGCCTAACCCGCCCCCGATCAGACACCGTCTCCACGTGTCCTAACGCCACCCAGGCACTTTTCTAACCCGGCTAGCGGCGATTCCAATTAGCAGTGAGTCACCAGTCGCGGTTGAAACTCGGAATGCAGTTGAGCTCTTACAGACAACCATTGCACAACAAGCGGCGTATTCATACAGCCATGATCGTGTGCACTCGACTCCCCTCCCCTCCCCTCCCGAGTCATAGTTATAGCCGGCGTATTGAGTCGCTCGCAGTCTCCAGCAGTGAAAGGCATCGGAACATGGCCCAGGTTAACTTGCCCGATCCTCAAAGCGCGGCTCAAGCGATTGTGGATGCGGCCAGGGCCCGTCGAGAGGCGGAAGCAGCAAACCAGGGGGCTTACGAGTCACCCCCTGCGATCCCTTCAGCTTCGACCGAAGTTGGGGTGAGCATTAGAAGTCTCAGAGTGTCGTGTTTGGTGTTAGCTTTGCGTAATGAGCGTCTGCCCAAAGATTTGAAGGGTCCTCGCAAGATACGTAATTATACAGCAAACCTCCCCCTAGAAGCTTGGATTGAGAGTTATGAGCTAGCATGGATTTGTTAGACATCAATGATGCTGTTTGTGCCAAGTATTTCACCATGATGTTGGAAGGGCCTGCCCGCACGTGGTTAAAGGGCTTGTTGCCCAATTCTATTAACTCGTGGGCCGAGTTAAAGGCGTGTTTTATCAAAAAAATCAAGGGACATGCAAGCAGCCTCTAACGATTGTGGATCTGGATCACTGCATGCAGCATGAGGATGAGTCAGCTCGCCATTGGGCCCAGCGGGTCTCCGCTATTATTCACTCGTCTGATAGATTGCGGCGGGTCAGGAGGTCCTGATCTTAGAGAAGAACTGTCACTTCGCCCCCCTTAAGCAGAAGCTCGGGCGGCTCAAGCATTATTGCAACGACATGGGCGACCTCATGGAGGCTCTCACTAAGTATGCAGACTCTGATAACACAAAGGACCCCAGCTCTGATGATGAGAAATCCAACAAGGCAAAGAAGAATGGCAATGGTAAGGGTCAGCAGCAGAATATGGCAAGGCATAATGGCAATAGCCAGGGTAATGGTGGTAAGCAGAGGAACCCCGATGGTGGGTCAGATCTAGTGGCTAACACCAACACTGCGTACAAAAACCAGCGCCGCAACAGTAATGGTAAGCCGCCTTTTGGCGGAGCAAAGCCTTTTAATCTTGAGGCGATGCTTAATGAGCCTTTCCCGAAACATAGTTTTCCCAACAAGTCATCCACTCATGCTTGGAAGGATTGTTATGTTAAGCGGGAGTTCAAGAATTACAGCCTTAACCACCATCACGATAGTGGCAATGGGCCACCTGGCGGGTCAGGATCCGGGTCTCAAGGGCCCGACTTTGGTGGTGGTAGCTCAAATTCTGGTTATCAGGGTCAAGGCGGTCATAATCAGCAGTCTGGTCAGGGCAA